GATCGGAGAAAAATATGGCACGGCCCTGTATCATGTGGCGTTGGGTAACCATCTGTTCCTTCGGAAGCAGTTCGTGCGGCTGAAAAATTGTTTAAATAGCGGTATGACCTAATTCGTGTATTCTATACCATCATCGTATGATTGCTTCATGAAATAATGAATTCCGAATCCATGAGAGACTACACAGGGTGCGTGGAAAGTTCTGCAAAATTAAAAAATTTAAATTGAAGACAAAATCACCGGTAAAAAAAAATTATAAGAGACAAATTAGGACATTGTTGAAAAACATATTACAAGTGATAAAAATGCAATTTCAAATAAGCAAACAAATTATTCAAACAAATAAGAATTTGGTTGCAGAACTTTCCACGCACCCTGTAGTTTCTATCCACTCCGTATCATTTTCAGCACAGGGCGGGAGACCTTGACCTTGACCTTGACCTTGCCTCCCCTTTAAAGGGGAGGCGGTCGAGATGAGATAAGAGGGAAAATTTTTGGCAACTGTCGATCAATTGAGTCTGCGGGGAACGAAGGTGGGAGACCGTTGTGAAGTTTTTTCATGCAAAGTTTGCAAGGCTATTTTTTCCCCCTATCTAAAAAATTAAATATCGCAGTTGCCTCCTTCCCATCGCTAACCTCGAGGTTACCGAGATCGTTCTCTCTCTCCTCTCTCTTCTCTCTCCTCTCTCTCCTCTCGCGGCAAACTCGGGCGCTGAGTGGTCGGGAGGCTGGAAGGATGATACGAACAATGGATTTGGTTTCTCCTCTGATCCCTCTTGACAGCGGAATCGCGGCGCAGCCGAGGGTTACACGACCAACCACTTACCCTGTCACAATCGAGATAAAGGGGGGGAGGCGTGGAGGCAGAAGTTGAGATGAATTCCAACTCCTTCCAGGCTATCGGCCTGGCGCCGGAAGGCAATAAATCTTGGGGTGATACGCAGTCACCATATTTCACGTGAATATTTTATTATTTTTTTTTTATCGATACTTTGGGGAAAGGAAAAAAAATTCAACTTGGAGCATTGTTGCAGACTCGTTTTCTTCTTCGTTGGTGACCCAGGCTTTTTTTTTTTTTTGGCAGGAATTGCACTTGGGAAATAGAAAGTTAACTTTTAGTTCACAATCCATCCAGGTTGGATAGTGGTATAAAATATATATATCAGGAGACGAAAACTCCCATTTGGATACCACGTGTCGAGGACGAGCGTTCAATAATTTTAATCTTAAATTTATTTCCTTAATTTGGTCTACTCCTCTTAAAGCTCTGTTCAAAAATCCAAAAATCCACCCTACGTCACTTCTTAAAAATCGCCACGGAAGCCACCACGTGGTCAAAACGCGTTCACGCCTTTACGAATGAAGACGTCCTGTCTCGACCTGAGCCGCACCTGCGGATTACGCAACTCTTGATTACCTCTTGTTCTCGGGCTCCCGTCGGACTGGAAGTACGTACCACGCGCGACACGATCCATTCCTTTAATGGCCTTGAAAGCCTTGATGAGACCGCCCGTCCTTAACTTTCACTCGAGCGAGTGCAGTCCAAACACCTGAGCTTAAACGGAAGCCCCCCGACCTCCTTCGTCATTCTCGTGGCCCTCCGCCGTCTCCTCCCTCGAGCGCCATTCACCCATCCAAAACTGGATGCAATATTTCAATTGGGCCAAGGCCGCATACAACGGAAGAATAACGCGCGAGTTCCTACTAGCCACTGAACGACGGATGCATCCTAGAATCACATTTGGCCACTGTCGCTTGCGCGTGAGAGGAAGACGTGAGGTCTTCGTCGGTCGAAACCTCTGAATCTCGCTCTCCGTTTGCCTCCACCAGTTCATCTACGTCAAACGCGTCGAGAGACCTACTGTTATTTTGACTGATGTGACCGATCGACTCCATGGACTCCTATTGGAGGAAAAAAAGCACTTAAGCTTAAGAGCCCCTCTATCTCCCCGAAACAAGGTTTCAGCATTAAACAATCCAATTCCAACTTCCCCCATCTCGACCTCGACCCAACAATCTACGCAACAGATCCAAGACGAGGCCCATCTGGTGGGGGGGGGGGGGGGGGGGGGGGGGGGGGGGGGGGGGGGGGGGGGGGGGGGGGNAGATTGAAGGGAGTTCAGATGGGCTTGGTTTCCTTTCGCTGGTACCGTTATCCCGTGTCCTATTTTTGGACCTTCGTGCCGGACTCTCTGAAGTCATCAAGTTTCGATTCGCTCCCTTCTTCGCGTTAGACTAGTTGGATCGAGGGAGCTCGCGTGGTTGGTTCATGCATGTGATTGGGCTGAAATTTTCTTAAGCTGAAGTTAGGCTAACGTTTGGCCGAAGCTTAGGGTGGTCGTTATGAACTTAGTGACCTCTTTTTCATGTAATTTTTTTTTTTAACTTGATTTCGATAACTGTCCATGGCACTTCGTGCATCGTAGCATTTAAACTGTCGAGCTCAGGTGACAAGTACTTTACGACTATGCCCGTGGGCCGTATATTGTTCTCGGACCTGTGGCTTCCCCAAGTACATTAAAGTGTAGGTAGGCCTAGCGTGAAGAAAGGCCTCATTAGCGTGGAAAGTTCCATCGCTTTCCAGCTCATTTATAAACTCTGAATTGAAATGAAGTTTTGGTACTTTTCATCTGATTCTTACTGTTTTGATTGGCCTTGGTAGCCCAATGCATGTATAGGTCCTCATCTTGTTTAGCAACACCATCTCTAGATCCATTATGAAAGAAAGGAACAACCATGTAGGCCTAGGTTCTTCATACATTTTGTTGGAATGGTTTTTCAGCCATCATGGGCCAAGTCATCATAGCTCTTGCTTTTTAAGGTTCTCATTATAAGATTTGAAAACTGATGATCTTAATCATGAATCCCAATAGCTAGTCCTCTTTGTGAATCCTGCTTTAGGGCTATCTTTGCTCCCATTATCTATTAGCTATTAGAAACCGCAAAAGTATATTCTGACATGCATTTCATCATGTGCACTTCAGATCTCAACCAAACAGCACTAGTCAAAATGATCTCCAAGATGTGTGTGGTTGTACTCGTCCCATTCGTTATGTGCACGATGTTACCTGTGGTATCAGGCCTGGCATTCAGCAGCACGCATCGTTTGGATGTGAGTGTGAACCTCATGGAGCCAGAAAAATGCGATTCCAATATGTACGTGAATCCCAGCACTCAGCAGTGCCATCCGTGTGGTGATAATGCGACCCGTGATTCCCTGGGATTCTCCTGCACCTGCAAGCCACAGTTTCGCACAGTTCAAGACTTTGAGGGACCCTACCCCATGTGTGTGACATGCCATAACAAATCGTTTCCTTCTCATGATGGCAGAGCCTGTGTGACCTGCAGTTCTGGATCTAATTGTAGTCTTGATCACTGTCCAGATGGATTTTTCNCCCATGTGTGTGACATGCCATAACAAATCGTTTCCTTCTCATGATGGCAGAGCCTGTGTGACCTGCAGTTCTGGATCTAATTGTAGTCTTGATCACTGTCCAGATGGATTTTTCTTTATTGATAGATTGCCCAATGGAACTTACCTACCCACTCCACAATGTCTCAAGTGTGCATCAGGTTTCACTGTTGATGGTACAGGTCTTTCATGCATTCCTTGTCATGATTCATTTGCTGTGCATCCCAGCTGCTCCTGTCCACAGTCCACACATTCAATCTTGGGTGGTGTATGCATATCAAATGAGGCTCTGGCATCATTCCCTGAGACTCCAGAAGCTTATGTTGTGAAGCATTTGGACAAAGTGTCTCGATTGTCTCTCTATTTTCAACGGCATTCAAGGGCTGCTAGCTCCCTCTGCTTCAAGTATGGAAATATTTCTGCCTGTAATCTGGCATCTCATTTATGTGTTCTTTCCCACTACTCTCACAGTGCAAATGGTCCCTGTGCCCAATATTTGAAGCTTCTTTCAATGAATGCTCTCATGCCCCATTTGTACTTCCCAGCTGAAGATACTGAAGACTTTCTCAAGTCAGATAACTTGTTGGCTCAGTATAATCTTATGCTGAACACAAATGAGTCTCAGGTGCACCTGTCAACTGGACAATATTCTGCCCGTGGGCATTATCATGGTCTCAAGAATTTCTTCACAATAATAACCAGGTACTGCCCTTCAGCACCTTCTTACCTCTTCTATTTTGCAGTCTCCTCTAGCACATCATGTGAGATTCCTCTTGAAGTCATTCAGGAAGAGATGTATGAACCTTTTTTTTATGAGGTTTTTGTTCAGTTCTCAGATGGCAATTCTGAGCAGCTCTATCCAGTGCCTGTTCGAGACATGCATTATTTGGATGAAAAGTCTGATGCTGCTAACTTGGCGGATGATCCAAGGCAGTGGCAGCTCACTCGCCGGTTGTATTTTCTTGATGGATTATCTGGGCAAACTTCTTACTTGCGGGAAAATGATAATATAATCGTGGCTTTGAAGGAACTTAAAATTCAGATTGAGACAAGAAAAGAGGGGGACTCTGTTGGACATATTTTCCCACCATTACTCACTGTGACTTATCAAGTGATACAGACCAGGGAATTGCTGACCATGCCTGTGAAATTTGAGATGACAATTACATATCATACATTATTGAAGGAGCCATTTCGAGACATTGGGATTGCCTTGGGTGTGTTGAGCATTCTGGGTTTCATGTGGGCAATTGTTAGGTCTTGGAACTGGGCCCGTCGAAGCGGACGCATCACCTGTGATGCCCTTTTGCTTGGCAAGTTCCTCCTGAACTTCTGCTTCAACATTTCCAATATCTACCTCCTTGTCATTTCATGCATTTGTGGCTACCTTTTTCTGTTGTTCAAGTTCCAGTCAGTTCTCGTGGTCACTCTACCAAATGAACGGCAGGAGGTTTTCTTTAAGGGTTTTTTCATCACAGCATTTCTTCTCAAATGCATAGAGATGTCATATATCATATATCTGGTTGCTTCTGTGGATGTCTTCTTCGTTGACTGGGAGCGACCACACTTAACCCAAGTTGCTCCCTCTATGCTCAACACCTCTGCAATGGCTACTGCCCGAACTATCAGCATCTGGCGGTCATATGTCATTGCCCAGAAATGGCAGGACCTGCAGGTGTTGCGAAAGATCCATTTCCCATCTCAGATGTTGGGTATGATATTTTTTTTGCAAGTCATTGACCTCCAACAACTCACTCTTTCTTCACCCTACATGAAGTTCTCCGATGATCCCCTAGGGAATGTGAAGCAAAGTTATGTATGTCGCATAGCCCTCTCAATATTAGTGTACTTATGCCTCTGGTTGGGTCAGTATATCCTGAGAAAGCTTGTTGTTGAGCGCTATGTCTTGAATGATGTTACACAGCTCATTGATCTATGCTGTGTTTGCAACATATCAGTTCTAATTTTGTCTGAGGAGAATTTTGGCTACTACATCCATGGTCGCAATGTTCACGGTGAGGCTGATTCCAGCATGCACACATTGCATATGCAATTGGAAGGGGAGAAGCAGGATCTATGTGGTAGTAGAGGGCTCCTCCCTAACACAGACCTCCAGACATTCATGATCGTCCTTCCAAATCGCTTCAAACAATACTACCAAAAGCTGAAAGAACCCCTGGTACAAATTATGACAACTGGCATGAGGATGCATCAAAGTTTGCCCAACGTGAGTGAGACGAGCAAGATTGATGTGCGTCATCACACCTATCTCTGTATCTCAAAGTTTCTTCAGACTTTCATAGAGCACAACCTGAAGGAGTTGGATTACACAATGACTGACAGGGTTTTCTTGGAAACAGTTCTAGATCTTGAGCTCCAAGATGTCTCAGAGAAAGCCTTGTTCTACAATGACCACAGGGAAACCTTTGTAAATGCTACTTTCTATGGCAATGAGTTCACTCTGTCAACTTTTGAAGTCCTGCTATTCATTTTTATTGACACCTTTGCATTTGACTTTGCTCTCTCCAGTGTCTGCACCTTCCTCTTGGTTTCCATGATGTCTTGGATTGCAAAAGTGCTTTGTAAATACAACCTTTGCAAGAAATCACTTCTTGATTCTCGTTTCATACAATAGGGTCAGTGTGATCCAGTTTTATGTTTCTGTGGTCTTGACTATTCTTCATGTGAGCTTAGTTCAGAAAGGCAACTTTTTCATGTGCTTCTTTCATGGAAGACTGTAGTACTATTTGTGTGTCAAAGTCTCTTTTTCCCAATTGGAAGAGTGAAAAAATAACTAATTGCTGTCTGGGGGCTTTGAGGGTGGAGAATGTGCCACTTTGAGAATGTCACAATTTATATTGTTTTGACATTTAGAGTAGTCTTTCCTACTTTGTATTCTTGTGCAACTTTCCACCAGACAAAATTGCTTCATAGGGTTACTGATCTCTTCATTGTAGCACAGTCTCATGCTTGATTCATCTTGTGTGCTAATGCAGCATGTCACGAATAATCCTCTATATGTGAATAACTGAACTGAATGACATGAGTTTATTCTTATGAAAAGTTCAAGCAGAGCTGTTTTCATCCATTTGCAATTTTCACTGTGACATGGAGTGTCAAGTTCCTTGGTCTTTTTTGCACTGTCTAACTGGGTTTCGTTGGACTAGACTAGTGGCTCAAGGACAGCAACTTATCAATACAAAAGTGGAGTACATCCTTGCTTGCAAAAAGTGTTTAGAACTTGCTTGCTAACTACTTTCAATTTCTTCTGAAATGAACTATACAAAGTGTAGACCAATAGCATGCTACTTGTTTGGATACTATCAAAGATAACATCATGAAATGACAAGAAGAAAATGATGAAAAGTTGAATACATGAGATTGGCTGAAGACAATTAATAGCAAGTGTTTTGCTGCATTGCATAATTTTCTTCATTCTTTTTTCAAGGAAAGAAACCCACTGAAAATAAATATAGACTTATCCTGCCATATGGAGAATTCATTCACCATCTAATTCATAAGAATTAGATGATGAGACAGTATTGCTAACATGCCAAGCCATTGCTGAGGTGATCTCCAACGAGAAAGATTAATTTTTCCGTATTTAACATGGAATCCTACAAGCTTTCCCCTTGTGCATGTGTATTTCACATGGCAGGAATTTACTGTGCAGTCTGTGCAACATGTGGCCAGCAGTATGTGTTTTGTTATCACTCATGTATGTGTTATTGTCTTGTATGGGTGTAATGCAATCATCCCCTCTTGGACTTTTATATTTTGTGTACAGGAAACACTCTTTTTTTGTAACACCCCATATATGGCTGCACAAGTGTACCCGGATCCAGTAAGTTCGGTGTTCAGTGGAACACTTGATCTTAAGAGCCTAAGCATTTCTGCATGGTTCCATTCCATCCATCATATTCCATGCAGTGATACTGCATGTCTATTAGCCTTTCCCTGAAAATGGATCTCATTTGTTGTGTGAACTTGAGACTGACATGACAATGTATTGTGATACCTTGACTGTGCTAGTCATCTTGGTTCCGTCCATAAATGCTCACTGATTTCTCAATAAAATTATCCAAAAAACTGGATGTGAAGAGTTTATTTGTGCTCAGGTCAAAGTATGTGAATCAAAGTTGTATTTCTGAAGATCTACCATGTTTGGTCATGTTTTATCAGATGTCATTCCTCTCCATGTGTGTGGGCTTGTTGATAAGTACACTTTTGTTATGTCTTGGGACTAGATAGTTAAAATCATGTGCAGACAGGTACATAAATAATATTAGATGAAGTTGTGTAAAAGTCTTTGGAATATGAAAAGAAACATGAGAGGACCTAGCTTTTTGGTTCATTCACAACTCTCTTTTTGGTATCAGTATTTTTGCCCCAGACAAAGTTTTAAATGAGCTGAAACTTGGATACCATACTGATATTTCTTTTTATTTTCCAATAACCATACCCTAACCTCAACTAAACAATGGAAATTCATCTAATCATGAAAAAAAAATAGTCCAAGTTGGCAATTTGCTGTGCTAGCAACTCACTTGAGTGGACCAGTGAGTGCCACATGTAAAATGCCTATATTCATAGCTGCCAAATAACTTTGTGACACAAGGAAGTTTGCTAGGAAAGGTATGAACACAGGTATTCAGTTTATAAATGAGAGAAAGCATTGAGGTCTCTACTTAGAGCTTTGGTCTCAGTCTCCATGTATTATTTCCAGATTGATGTTAGTTGATATAATGTGAGTGCTATGGCATTCTTTGGCTACTGAAGAACTCTGCATGCCTTTACAGAATATATCATATCTGGTTTATTGTTAGTGAATGACTTCTTTTAGAATGTCCTTCAGATCTTGGGTTGTCTAAATCCACTGCTATCCTTGACTTAGAATTTGTGCCTGTGGATGTAGTGGCATTGATTTTGAACTTAAATGCTATAATAGACTGGCAAGATGGTAATAAGAGAATGGCATTGATTTATGGACTGGTGGTTGAGAAACACTCATATACATTGCACTAAAAAGTTTTGCAGTATGTCGAGTATGTTATTAATATTCTGAATTATATTTTGCATTCTTGCTGATTACTTAATTTACTAACTGCCATATTACTGATTCTCATTCATTTTTTCTCTCATAATCCCTGTCTTGGAGCTTATTGTGCAGTATTGGGTAGTCATCAATATTGTTTCCTTTTTCATGTCTCAAAGGTAAAATGTCAAAATAGTCTACCTGGTAAAGTCTGTTTCAGGTCAAACCAGTGTTTGATCAGCCCTAAGTCAATGTAACTGCAAAGACTGAACCAGTATTGAAGTTCGTAGGAATACTACTCATGAATGAACCTAACAATTGCAATAAGGCTTTCCCCTTCCTTTCTGATTTGATAACTCATTTGGAAAAAATGCCTTCCTGTTGTTTAGAGTAAGTTATACCATCAAGACTCATTAATAGAGAATGGTTTTTGTTTGTGTTTGCATTTAGGTGGGAACATTTTTGTTCCTCCCACCTTCTACCAGAGCCCTGTACATGAACATCCCTAGACAGAACTTTTCCTGCTTGTGGTTCAAAAGATCAATTGGAGCTCATGTGGACATCTTGCAAGCCCTGTATTTGCAGGCTCTTCTTTTATGTCTTCTTCCTTATGCTCTATTGTGAATTCCTTCACTACTATGTCTCTATGTGGAATGTAAGTCCATGGAATATTATCCAACAACAGTATCCTGGTATATCTCCAGTCATTCAAACGACTTCTTTTCAATGATTTCATGCAGTGTGCTTGGCCGAAGCTGGAAGGGAAGTTGGTTGTGTCACCCAAGGTGGCTCGAATCATGTTCGTGGCAGATCCCCATCTCCTTGGGTCAAGGAAGGGTCACTGGTTCGACAAGCTACGCAGGTCTCCTTTCCTTTTGGTTTTGTATCTCTGCCTGCTTCTGTTTCACTGGAGCAGAAAAAATTAGAAATTTTATCAAATATATTTAGCAAGGTAGTAAAAAGTACCTTTCCTACTCTTAAATGAGTTTGGGTTCTAATGAGAGTTTTAATCTTGTTCTAGTTTCTGGCTGGCTTGCCTTTCAGATCCTGAAATTCATTTCTTTGTTTTGATAAGTGATGAATTGAACAATTTAACAATGCAGTGGATTTTTATTGTTTCATTCTTGACAGGGAGTGGCAGATGCATCGAACATACCAGGCAGCCATGAACCTTCTTGGCCCCCAAGTGGTCTTCTTTCTTGGTGTGTATTTTCTTTTCCATACCATGCTCATCTAATTGCTATGCTACATGTTGTACAATGTTGTTTGTAACCCTCCCACTTCCTGTGGTTCCTGGAAATCATTTCTGAGAGACATTGCATTCAATAATATTATTTAAAGAGTGCACTTCAGAATTTTCATCCATAATTAAACTCATACACATTGAGTATTACTTACTGTTGAGGTTGAATTCACTTCATTGTTTCCCAACTAGGGCTGCAACAATATCAGATTTTGCTGATTTTTGATGTTCTGATGGAAAGCAAATATCTGAACAATATTGCAAATTATAATGGAAATGTTCTCAGAGGCTCTCCTTAGTGCCTAGACCTGCAGTGAATCATAAACAGGTTGGGTATTATATGCTACACTCATTCCTCAATCACCCTGTCTGCATTACACACACCATCCATCACTGCACATTCCTTCTAATCCTACCATGTAACCCTTTGCCCCCATGACCATCTCTCATAGAGCAGCACAGGAGATTAGATATTTACCTCTCTTTAGCTCCAACCACTGCCATCCATTCATATCCTTGGATTTATTTGAGACATTCTTTTCTGTATCTCTCCTGACTGTTCAGATCTTGCATATTTAACCTATAAGCCTATCAATTATGATAATGAAGCCTGAAAAAATATGTCAATGGTGGCATAAAGTGTAAAAATTCAAGACTTGGGTACAGAGTCAGCATGTTTCAATTATGTTGCTAGGTAAAATAAATGGATCATCATTCTCCTATTGCAGCCATAAATTAGTGCTGATTCATAAGATCATGTTTCTGTGATTTTTCTTAATTGCAGGTGATGTTTTTGATGAAGGGATGTGGGCCTCAGACAGAGAATTTGAAGCTACTGTGAAAAGGTTTCATGATTTATTCCCAGAGGAGCATGGCACCCGGAACATTGTGGTGGTTGGCAACCATGACATTGGATTTCATTATCAGTAAGGTTAAATGTTTACCCTGAGCCAGTTTGCCTTGTTTTCATTGGTTTCATGTTGGTGATATCTTTCTTTCTTCAGCATCATTCCATACTTGAGGCATCGGTTTGAGGATGCATTCAATACATCCAGTGTCTCCTTGGTGGAAGTGAGGGGATCCTACTTTGTGTTGATCAACAGCATGGCCATGGAAGGAGATCACTGTGACATGTGCACAGAGGCCATGGCTAAGGTCCAGAAGGTTGCAGCTGCCTTTTCCTGTGCCAAAGAAGGTCGTGATGACTGTTGGTACGAAGACGTTGAGATTCGCAACCCCAGTCCGCCCTTCCTCCTCCAGGTCTCCAAGCCTTCTACATGCATTTTGATGTCTTCTTCTTAGATAGTACACAAGGATTGACTTTGCACCCATCCTGACTGGGCTATTTTGACTGAACGATGTACCTCTTGATGACATGGCTGAAACTAATTTTAACCTTCAAAGGGAAGGTTCTCTGTGCAATTTTGTTATGCCAATGACATCGGGTAGGCTACTCTGCAATCCTGCCTCCTGCACTTTGAGGATGTAAATTTTATTGTTACTGTTTCATGCAGTTATATCACAAATAATTGTTATATCTAGGGATGTGCTTATGCATGTGCTTCTAGAATAATGTGATTCTGATAATTGACCGATAAAAATTGAACTAAGGTGGTGAATTGGTTCAACCTGAATTGCCCACTTCCCATTCAGAAACCATTTATTCTCCATATTAGCCTTGACCTTCATTACCGAATGTCATGGACACTCACAGTTTTATATTTTGCAGTCCATTTTATTTGTAACACTATGGAAATTGTTGGACTATGCCCAACAGTGGACTTCAAAGAGTTAAGGATGGGGGATGTTTTCCATGTTGAAAAGTGGGAGAAAAGTTGTTGAGCCTGTAACAGTTGGATAAGGGAAAGTGAAATAGCTAGTCACAAGAGCTGATGCCATAGTGGATTGCCCTTACAGCATTCCTGCTAAAATGCAGCTTTCAATTTCATTGCCTATGCTCACAGAAATAAAAGTGTCTGTAGGTTATGCATCTGATGCTCAATAAGTAAGGAAAGTCTGTAGATTTGTCCTGGATCGGTTTGTTCCAACAATTGGGATATCTAAGTACAGTTTTGGTCCAGCTGATATATCAGTATTATTGGTCTTTAATCTATTAGATTCTCCACCAATGCATTAGCACTTCTCTTGTCATCTTCATAGATGGTACAAAGTCATTCTGAAAGCAGTGTTCATATTTAGATGGAACTTTGTAGAACACCCAAATGCATGCAAATGTGGAATCTCTTTCCAGCATTTTCCCCTCTATCGAGAATCAGATGAGAACTGCACAGAGTCAGATGCAGCTCCGGCTGCTGATAAACGAGAGAAGTTTCGCCCCAAATGGGAATGTCTATCTCTCCAAGCCACTAATCAGGTGGGTCATGAATATTCCTCATCCTCCCTCCCCAAAGAAAGGTTTTGCTTTTTGCTATAAAACCCTGCTTATAATCATACACCACTTAATGTATTTGTGTGAAGAGTGCATTTTTAAGTATGCCTTTGACATTAAGTTTTACATATCATTTGGGTACTTTTTTGGCATTTGACAACTTATAGGTTGAAGGATGCGTCAAAGAGGCGTATGCATAAAATAAGGCTTTATATTCTATTTACCAGCATACATTTTTTACTGGAAGCTTGCTAGGAATGTATCCCCATATAAGAGGTATTGCAGTAACCCTTTTATCCCTGGAGTTGAACCAAGTATTACAAGTTTTTTCAAAACAACTACCCTTCAGCTTATTCATTTTTTGTGGCTGCCAATGTGAACCTGATACCTCTACAGGAGTTCAAATTCTTTATGTAGCAGAAACCTAACTATAACCCCTATCAGACTTTTCCTTACTTCCTTGCTATTGTTTTAGGTCAGAATTACTAACAGTGACTAATTGTCGCATCACCTCTTACTTATCCAAGGTGATGCTTGATAGAAATGAAATGGATTTTTTCAGCAAGTAATGAATGGAGTGCACCATGGTGGAAATTGACTTGACACGTAGAGATCAGGTTGGTCTAGGAAGCACTTGCACCTCATTCTTGAGGAAACCTTCTTTCCCTCTCTTTTACACTGTCTCAAAAGCTGCATGCACTGGTTTTGCTTGCTTGGTTCACTCAAAGCTGATACAGGCACTCCCTTAATCCTTTCCTGCCTTGGAACCTTTCATCCCAAAGGTGCAGCAATTCATTCCAGTGTAACTTTGGAATTCTTGGCCCTTTATAATAAAGTCTCACCACCAAATAAAATTTTGATGCCTTTTCTTTTTGGCCATATTTGGGTGTTTTGTGAATGCTGGTCAACTGCCACTCTTGCCATCCATAATTTGTCATTTGATGTCACCATGCCAGACTGTTACATGTCAATTGTGATGCTTTCTTTCACAGTTGTTGCATTTCCTGAAGCCACGGGCTGTGATGACGGGGCACACACATCACGGCTGCTATCGGCTCCATCGACCGTACAACATCCCTGAATGGACCCTGCCTTCCTTCAGCTGGCGTAATAAGAACAATCCCAGCTTCATGCTTGTATGTTGACCTTGTTTGAACACTCACCTATGCCTCATCCTATTCTCCATTTTACAAAATCATTTTCTATTGTCTGCATGAGAGGGAATGCAAGAGTAGTATGATATTAGCCCACCAAAATATGAAATTTATAGTCATGCAAGAAATTTACCCAAAATGTGTATTGTGCTTTTTCTATTCAGATGACTGTGACGCCTGAGGCATATGCGGTTTCTAAGTGCCACATGCCCCAAGAATCAACTGTGATCACTCTTTACTACCTGGGAGGGATTCTATATGTACTTGGCTGCATTTACTTCCAAATGTCCAAGAAGAGGAGCCATTCACGATGCATAAAAGTGGAATGATTTCTGTCTTATCTTAATCATCTCCCCCTCCTTCCCATGCTTCTTTGAAAATAATTCACGCTTTCTGTCCATCTCCCCTAGGTATTTTAGACCATGGAGATCCATGCATGAATTGGCTGCTCTTTTGCTCAAGGACAGGTGACTAACACGGCTATCTGTTGCATGCTGTACTCTGCATGGGTTTCTCATCCTAACCCTGAAATATATTATTCATCACCATTGTGATGATGTACCTGACTCTGAGAACATATTCAAGGTTTTTATATATGCATTCCAGCATTGTTTAATATTTATTCTTTATCCTATTGCATGTGCAATGTGTGCATTTCCTGCTAGATCAGTTGCAGTATTTCTTTAAAAGGAATACCTCTTGTATTGTTTCAGTTGTTCCTATTAATCTAATTCACCTGGCAGGTTACCATGCTCAACATATGCATTTCATTACCCATATGTTCATGACGAGATTTGAATCAAGCAAAAAAATTTTGAATTGATAGCTTGTGTTTGGTGGGCCTTTGTCCAACATGTCAAAAGAACCACATTACTTTGATTCATAAAATGTTATTTATTTTGATAAGGTAGGATGTGACGAAGAAAGTTGAAAAGCTGATGACTTCAGTAACCTTTGGGGTTGCATTTATTTTGCATTCTGGAAGGGTTGGAATCTAAGGACTCTGATTCACCCTCCTTAATCTAACCTTAATCTAATCCTCAGAAAGTATCCAATATGGGTTCCTTGAAATTTGACAAATGACTGCATTAGGCATCAAGTTCCTCCACTGAAAAGTGGGTGTGATCAGTTAACTTGGAATCTAGTTGCAGACATCACCAATCACAAGAGGTGGCAGGTCTCAGTCACTGATTACTCACTCCTTGTGCTCACCTGAGCAATTGAACTGTATTTCATGAATTTTCACTAACCTGGTCAGAAGGTGAATTCACTTGTTGTTGCCTTATTTCTTCATGTGAGGCCATTTGTTGCCACCGCTTCTATGACACTCCCAAGTGTGTTCTTACAGTGGTATTGGAAAAAAAGAAAGGAGAGTGAGGATGTTAAAGATTGACGTTGAATGCCAGGGTTGGGGAAACAATTGCTAGGAATAAACTGAATGGAAGGTGAAATTAAGCTGAAATCGAGTATTTTCCATCGTTTTTGGTTTAATCCACTTCCAGCAGATTTGTTGACATGAGTCCTGTATCTGTACCTCCCCTGTGTGGCAGATGAATTGCAATTCTATCAAACTTGTTGATTTGCCTGAGTTATGTTTCTAATTTCGTTCTCCCAGCCTAGATTCTGAGGATTATTTTATTAAATTATAATATTGAAAATGTGTTCAGCTTATTTAAATACCTTGAAGGCCAATCCCAACATGGAAACTACACTTTTTTAATTTTTACTGAAATTTTTACCTATTTTACTGTGTAGTTCCTATTTACAGTGTTGGTCCTTGACCTCTTTGATTTATGATTTTAAAAATGTTGCATGCACATGTGAGAACCGATATTTGAACGATGAATAAAGTTTTTCGAAATGGAAATGCAAGAAAAAAAAACTTTTTAAACGAACAAGCAAGCCGAGATTGATCTATTTTGCAAGATCGACCAACGCTTAGTTTCATTAGATCTGCGTTGAACCATCCACGGACTCATTGAGCCCTGTCACCGCGTCGAATGAACTTTCCAGATTTTTCACAGTCCCAGCCTTTTATGCAAATTGGTTTGAACGCTGCCCTTTTGGATGTCCTAAATCCATATTTCCCTCAAAGGTTGACTCCAGCCGGCTTCATTTGAATTTCGTCTTCGTCAGTATTCAGCTTCCCCCCCCCCCCCTTTTTTTATATGCTTCAGGAAGGTGAATGATTTTTATCAACGTTCACCAGGCTCATATGAATATCCTGTTGCGACGAGGCCTCCTTAGATCGATCAGTGTGCAGTGAAATCCCTGAAAATCAATCCTATTACAGAATAACAATGTTACTCATGCATCAGAATTTGCTTACAACAGCTTCTACGGTAGTCTGGCTGAGAAGTTATCGAATTAAACGGCAGTCAATTTCAGAAGTCTTCGAAATTCTTGCATCAAGTTACACCCGAAAAGCGAGAGAAGGTGCCAAGTGAAAGTTAATATTTCCAAGCGTCTTTGACCCAGCTGGTCCCCTCCGCTCCCGAACTTACACCACACAAAAGAGCAAAGAAATGGTTTTTATTTATAAATCCATGCCCCGATCCGGAGAAGCTCCTCAGCCAGAGGGAGGAGAAGCCTCCTCGAAGGGACAGATGCTCCCCCAAATCTCCGGATTCAGATCTTGCAGCTGCGTCCCGTCCTGGCATTCCCCCTCGACGCTGGCGAGGAGGCTCGCTTCCGTGACGAGCCACTTCAGGCTGCAGTCGCACACGATGGGATTTCCTGTTTCAGACACCATAGGAAAGGCTTCATAGCCAATTCGACTGCAAACAATTCAAGGGAACATTTTTGGGGGGTGGTAAACGAGCATATCTGTTTGAGGGAGCGTCTGAATTCCCGCCAAAATTTCGAGTTCTGATTATTCTCGTATGGATTCCGCATAAAGCCTCTGATAGTTTTCCACCGCAAAAATCCTTCACGTACGGGGATACATGCAATATTCCTCGCATTCGAAAAGCTGTAGAAGTCATAAGAATTAGTGTGCCATTTTATGTTGTTCTCTGGGACTACGAGAGACGAAATCTCAATTTCCTCGGCTGAGTAGCTCTTAGGTGACCATTGGGAAGAAAGCCCTAACTCTTTCAAATACAAGTGAGTTTCTCCCTCCCCTCCCCCCTTCCGTAACGTTATCTAGAACACGTAACCTCTAACCCAGGGGACAAAACTAAACTTCCTAAACTGCTTCCGAGTTCCCTGCCACGGAAGCCAGGTCAGCTGCCAACCCCCTTTGTCACTCACTGAACAAAAACATTGCAAAGGAATACATTTTTTCAGATTCGAAAGTGAACCGACTGGCCAAGTAGAGAACTCCATCTCCGTTCGAAAGGTCTTCCAGTATGGACCTGAATGCGTCTTCCGGCAGGTGAACGATCTCGTTGAGCGCCAGTGACACGTTCGTTTCTGCCGCCAGACCTGCCATAGAATGGATCAAATCGGTCCATGTTCTAAGAAAAATAAGGGAACTCCTGCATGTAAATTTCAATACGAATGAGGGCAAGTTCATTCGAGCTACAGGAACCTAGATTTATATCATCCTGGATTTATGACAGATGTCATAAATGTCGACCCGCAACTCACTTCGTTTCGGGCGGGGATATCTGTCTCCGAAACGAAGTGAGTTGGAGATATCCGAAACGATTCTTCGATTCCTTCCAGTTTTCCTTTTGGAGAATTCCAATCTCTCCAATCCCAATTCCAATTCCAATCGCGTAGACTTGCGGAAGTCTGCAAGGCGCTGTTTTCCCGAATTCGACGGTTCTCGCAGAAATAACCGAGAACCATCGCGCGAATGCGGATAATTGCAGTAGGTCTCATATGCCTGTGATCAGCGTCGGGGTGTAAATGAGTACTTCTAACGTGCTACTCTAATTCCTTGTCAAATTTAATTTACGTTTCTAATTGCATTCGCTTGAAATTCGTACGAGAAGTGCGCATCGCACGTCTCATTCAGATTTTATCATGCATAACGGGGATTCGATAACGACGAGAGGCTCGTCCAAGCAACTCCAACGCCCTCGATTGTTATTAATACTTTCCTCGAGTAATTTTTACTCATAACTTGCCTCCAATTATGTCAGTAATTGAAAACTGGCGTGAATACCGCATCGGCTTCCTCATTGGTTCATTTGAACTCGGAAGAGCCTGATAAGATAATTTCCCTTTGAGATGCGGCAAGGATCCATTTGAGCGCATCTGACATTGTTTAACGCGAACAATGGAATTGATGAGAACGAAAACAGTTAATATCCAAAGGTCCATCTTGCCCATGGCTTCTCCATCTGGCATGTGGCTCTACAGCCCCTCACCGCGGAAGATCATCATCAAAGATAAAGGAATAAAAGTTAATGAAGCCCTCACGAAGCGAAAAGGACCCAAACGAAGCAAAAAGGACCCAAATGAAGCAAAAAGGACCCAAATGAAGCGAAAAGGACCCAAATGAAGCAAAATCCACCTTCGATGGCCCCCGGCTCCAGACGGACGATCTCGTTCTCCCCCAAGTTGAGTATCGCGAGCGGCTGACCCTGAAATCGGAACGACCCAGCCGTCACGTTCGGTCCCAGGTCGCACGAGTCGCACCAAAATTCCTCCAATGACCCCAGAGAGTCGAAAAACCCGGAAGGTAGGGCCGAGATGTAATTCCCACCTGCATGCATTTCAAATCAGATTCCATGGGAGAAAATTTGGAAAGAACTAACTGGATCCACATTTCCATTGAACCTCGAATTTCTTTCCCCATTAATTAGCATGAAGCAAAATTTCGTCGAGCTGTCCATTCGTTCGCCAGGCATATAATAATTATTTTCTGATGGAATCCTGGAAGTGCCAAACCATTTCAATCGGGGGGAAAATCTGTGAGCATATCCATCCACCCATCGATGACCGACGGTAACCGGTGTGGTAACCGGCGTAAGAAGCGCGTGTTAAAAATCGTTTGGCGTTCTCACCGAGGTCGAGCGTCTTCAGGTTGGGCGTGTTCCATCCAGTTTCGAGAGTCGACAGTCGATTGTAACGAAGGCGGAGGTACTCGAGGCTGGGGCTGGTGATGGCCGGGACCGAGGGCAACCGGTCGTGCCCCAGGTCGAGACGCTTCAGAACCGGCAGGTCGGGGAGCATCTCGAACGGGAATTCCTCGAGGACGCTGGAGGTCAGCTGGAGCGAGGTCAGGCGGGATGCGGACTGGAGGATGCCTTGGGGGTGGACCGAGGCGATGGAGGTGTACTCCATGCGGATGGATTCGAAGGTGAGGTTGCCGAAGTGGCCCTCGGGGAGGGAGGTCAGGCCGATGTTGCCCAGCAGGCGGAATTCCCTGGGAGGAGAAGGGGGTCCTTTGTCTCAGTCAGCGACGGGAGAGAAGAAAATACGTGCAATTGCGTCTAGGGGCTGGGGGGGGGGGGGGGGGGGGATATAAATTCGGTTGGTAACGCGTAAGAAAATATGAAAAAAATACTTTCACGATTACCGTATCTTCATCTTGCAATTGGGCTATTATCCCATTTGGGTTTCATGATGTGCTATGCATCATGCGATTAAGAATCCTGAGGGACCGGAAGCGGAGATGAAGTGAAGCCGAGGAGGAGCAACGATCTTACGTGATCTCCGTGATGGGCCAAAATACGTCGTTAAGGGCAGCAGTCTGCTCATCATCGTTGGCGTCGGAGCAGTCCACCACGATGAAGTCGGGGGATCCTTCGTAGGTGCAGGTGCAGGGTGCTATGTCCTCCGGTGCTGGCTCCGGGCACAGTAATTGCCCGGACGCCGAGGACAGCAGGAGGAAAAGGGTCAGGGATCCCAACATCTCGGCTTCAAAAATCTGCCCGAGTCCACGAAATCGGCACTTTCGGTTTTAAAACTGTGTCGCTGCCAGATGGAAAACGTCTCATGCGTCGCAATTCGTTGATGCTTGTGAGTGTAATCGTTTCCGACGGGAAACGATGCAGCTGGACCTGTTTACTTAGACATATCGGACTAAAAAAAAAGATAATACTCCAGGCGAATATGGGGGGTATTTTTATCCGTGTCCCATTTAGGGCATTGGGTTCAATTTTAGTCCAGCAAAAATAAATGAATAAATAAAATAAATAAATGAAACTCTGACGACACTGGAAAGCCAATGAAACAATGAGGCCCGAGGACTTTTTCCTGCTTCTGAAACATATCGACAGTTTCTGCTCGATGTCCCACGTCTTCCCGTGCCGCCAACCACTCACACAGATCCCAAAGCGATGAGATCGCGAAATATAAAACCTCCGCTAATAGAGATCGGAAGGGCGACAGCCTCAAGCGTCGAGAGAACTTGCTTCGTCCCTTCGCAGTCCCCCCGCCGACGTCTCACTGAACTTCCGTTCCTCGTGGATTCGGTCGGGCGTATTCGAAACTGTTGGGGAGTTGTTCGGCGGTGGAGATTGGGGAACTTCGACATTCAGTCGTTCGTTTCAGCGTCATTTGAATCCGGTGAGTCGCATTAGCTATTTTTCATGTCGTTTGGGGCTGTTTTCGTGCGTTTCTGTTGAGTTTACGGTGTTTTTGAGAATTCATGAATTCGTAGCACATTCGACATGGGTTCCAGGGGCCTATTCCCATTTCCATCACAGAAGTTGCACCTCCTTGGATGCACCTTATAAATAACATTGCACCATGTAATAGGCGGAACGAATCCATTTGCAAAGCACTACTGGATGTCCTAGAGGCGACGAGTGCATAATTGCGCATGCGCACTGGCTTTTCCTCTTTCACGATTCGAAGAGCATATTCGATGCGCCCACTCATTGGCCTAGGTGCGATTGCGGGAGGGGCAAGCAAGGTCTGAGCGAGCGGCGGTCAAACGAGTTTCCTCGGAAAGCGTCTGAGGATAAGAACGGTCATTAGATTCCACTTTTTCCATCGTCTTTCATGCTTGCTTCGCTCGTGTCTCGGGTTTTTGTCGGCCACCTCACCGGTGTCATGGTGTATTCTTTCCTCCCTGCAACTTTCAGCTTTTCTCGTAGGTTTGAGCGAAAGTGGTGTGTCTTCTACATACTATGCGAGACTTATCGTCTGTGAACCCAATCAATACTCAATGGGCAAAATCCCCATCGATGGAATTTTAAGCTAATCCTGTATGGAGGAAGTAGACACACCTATTCAACAGAGATCCATCGGAAGCATGAACACAAGTTCATTTCGTAGGTGAACTCCCGCTCTCGCTCATACCTGTACATCAGTACGTCCACGATGTCAAAAGTCGAGATAACTTTCGTCAAGGCATCAGAAACATATTTGACACTAGTAATTTGACGAAAAAACCTCAGCTCATCCATTTAATGAGAATTCGTTCGCTTTGGCTTTGATCTCAGCCGCTTACTGTAAGTGGCGTTTCCAGCTGTTACCAGTTGGAGCATGAACGACATTCCATTTTGTAAGCTTACTTATCTTAATTTATTATATTTAAATCGAATTTCTAGGTACTTAACAAATAAAAAGTACTCGGTGAAAACGCAGAGGCACTTATGCCCTCGGAGAGTCTAGAGGGAGTTTAGAGAGTTCAGAGGACCAACTAGATCGACTCCTCAACGTTGAAATAGCTTTGGTGAGACTCTTATTGGGTGTAATTCACCACTGGCAGGGGCACTGAGAGGGTTACTCTTTTGCCACACTTCGCATTTCTTACAGTACTGTTCGACATCCTTAGAGATGACATTCCACCACCAATGATTAGCACTAACTTTTTGGAAGGTAGCATTCCTTCCGAGTGACCGCCACCAAATCCGCGATGAAATTCATCCAATGCCTTCTTTTTCTCCCCATCCCCAATTACTACTCTCTTAGCTTTCCCATTCTTCTTTTTATGATGAAAGAGAATGCCATTTTGCAATCAAATGGCTGAGCAAAGATTCAGCATGTCCTTTTTTCCTCCTTTGACTCACAATTTGGTGGATACGTCACTTTCTGTTGTCCTTTCGATAGTAAAAAGAGACGGAGGTCTTCAAAAATTCCCATCTACATAAGCGATCTAACCAGCTTATCCAATCAGCTGATCCACGTTTCCTTGTACGAGAAGGCGAGAAAAGATGGAACGCGACCTTCGTAACCCTAACCGGGAATAGCCTCAGGTCTGAAAATATGTGGACGGAAAAAAAAAACCAGGGTTATTGGCAAGTTACCTTGTGCTTGCAAATTCAAAGTGTAGGGGGGGGGGATATACCGGTGGATTCTTTCCGGGAGGAATATACCGGTATTTATGGGGTGAAAATATCCCGGGACACCGGATGTGGGAGAATTACCGATTTCGAATGTATTCGTGTGGCCCCTCTTACTCTTTGGCCCCTCTTACTCTTGTAAGAGGGGCCTTCTGCTGGGTTATGAGAGGCGAGGCTGAGGATGAGTTGCTCTAATCATATTCACCAGGCTCTGAATCTCCGAGCTTAATGAGCTTCTCGCGCGCATAATGAGCGTTTTGGTGGCAATAACGAACTTGCCAGTTTTGCGTTTGCATATTTTAATTGCATGATTCCCCGACGCAGGAAAAACTGCATGCGAACAACCGCTTAAACGCACTTGCGTCAGAAAGAACGAAAGCGGAAAAAAAAGGAAAGTGAAATACAATGCCGATTGGCAGGCAAACCGATTGACGAATTTAACATTTCGGCGGGAAAGATCACGCATTTTTCGAGAAGGTTACAGATTATAATTACAATTTTGATTCGAAAAAAAACTATCCTCAGGGTCCCAGTGCACAGGGCGAATTTTTCATGCTCATTTCGGACTCGTGGAAAAAAGTATTTGTAGATTTTATTTTAATGTCCTTCGAAATAAATGTAGGACCTGCTAACGGTATTTCGCTGGTGCTCATTTGGGCATGCCTTTGTCGCGTCAATGTCCTTCTCTTGCAAAATATGATGTTATTCATGCATAATTCACTATTTCTTTGCTTGGATTAGTCATAAATTATATGCATTTCCTCAGTTATGGGCCTAGGCCACCATCATCGTGACTTACAACGTCATTCATCCTATCAGCATGACAAAAACAGCCGCAGAAAAAGGAGTGCAAAAGCGAATGGACGAACAAACGAGAGTTTCCTTTGAAAATTGCAAATGGTAATGAAGCAAAAGTAAATGATGAGGGAAAAAAAAACCGCGTCGCGCACGGAGGCCAGTGGAGTAGAGATGTGGATGGTCGCCTTCTTTGCGGGTGCCTCCCCATTCCGTCGTGGCTTCCTTTCGGTCTCTCGTCGGGCGAAACGACGAAAGAGATTTCAAGACTCATTTTTACTTGTACTCATCGGGTTTATTTTTATTTGCATGAAATAATCGCGTCCTCCTAATCGAAGTTGATCGATGATGATGAACTGAGACACACCGCACGAATTTGAAACTCCCTGGTGAGAAGAAAGCGAAAAGCGCGAAAAGGCGCCTCGAACCGGAGAATTTATTAAAAGGAAAGACCAACGTTTCAAGGGCACAAGGTCCCCTTCCAAGGGCACAAGGTCCCCTTCCAAGGGCACAAGGTCCCCTTCCAAGGGCACAAGGTCCCCTTCATCAGGATTACCTTCAAAGTTCAGGGGGAAAATGTTTCCAACCAACGGCGCGATAGATCCAACCGATCCGTGAATCTCGACCGACGCTAGAGTTTCGGCTCAGTTAAGACAGAGACGAATTTCAGCTATTACAGCGTAGCTTGTTCATGGACGGAATGATATCAAATACAAGCTCAGATTTGTAAGGTACTATGAATATTTGGCGAATTTTAAACTATTATTCCAAGAAACGTAAAGGAAAACTTCCGCACCCCAAGTCACCATGAATGCAGCTTCACTTTTTTTCTTTTGGTGATAACAGAAGTCGCTATTTAAAAAAATAGCTCGGGGCAAAGCGAAATCCAGTAGAGAACCTTCTTTGAAGTTTGAGGAGCAAAAATGTTCTTCACATTTATGAATTGTGGCATAAATTTGGTGAAATTTCGAGCTGCAGCACTCCCGAAAAAGAGTTCGAAAACTTGGCGTTGACGCACATCGACAGACACACATCGACAGACGCACATCGACAGACGCACAGACAACCGGACAGATCAATGGACGACTGCAGAACTGAGGCATTACATGATCACTTCAATGTAACCCCTTTCGGAAGAACCAAATACAGATTTACTGTAAGTATAGGATGGATTTAGACATATTTGGTTTGAAACAAGAGTTATCGAGTTTAAGTTACGTTAGAAGTCAAGTAGAAATAGAAGAGATCTTTTGAGATTAGGTTGGCGTTACATTAGTGTGAAAGCTGAGACTTCGTTTTGCAAGGCCAAAGAGCCTTCAGTCCATCAAGTCACCTTCATCATTCTAAGCGGCGTTTGCATTTACAGGTAGATGAAAATGTAGATGAAAATGTAGATGTCTGCTGTTCCCTGACAAGTCGCCTGCGAATGAAAATGTCCCCATTTCTCATGCTCGTTGTTACTTTAGTTACTTTGGAGGATTCCGTGAAAAACGCGGTGTTCCGCCGCCCGGCCAATTGGACGCACATCACCATTTCACAAGCCGTCAGGTAATGAACGAGTGAAATTAGGAGTGCTTCAATGCCGTCCTGCGTCCTGGCACCTGCGATTTGGGCGGTGAGGAAGATGCAGACGTCACAGCACGTGGACAATCCTCGGCACTTAGCCCGGGTTTAATGTGATGTTCACTGTACCAAAGTTGGTAAGCGAAAGCTGTGTCGACTCAACGACGAGCAAGCTGCATGTTTCCGGCGGGTTTGAGACTTTTTTATGATTCGCTTCCAAAAAAAAAAATGTCAGGCCTTGCACAAGGTAGTCTTCTTGAATAGACCTGGGGTCCCTATCGGCTTATCTCGTGATTAATTTTAAAAATGTATTCTTAAAGGCTAGGAAAGACGACAAAAGCACCCTCGTAATGATCTTGGGAGTGTCAACACTTTAACAAGA